CCACAACTTTAAAAATAATTATCTGAACATGGAATGTCATACGTCGTTGAGCTCGTATTTAAATTTGCAATCGAACTGTATCAAAAAACAGGAATTCAATTTTTTGGCCATTTTTTGCAAATTTTGCTGATGTTACCCCTTACAAAAAAATGCAAAAAAAACACAAAAAATTGTAATTTCCCAAATCCGTCAAAAAGTGATTGGAGTGGTTAGAGTTGGTAATTAGCTGCTCAAAACTGTAACTCTTTCATTTTTTTGATCATTTTTATGGAAGTTATGATAAAAATTCCCATCAAAAATATCGAATATTTGCCAAAAGTCGTTTTTCCGTTTTTCCGACATAAAATAATCCGTTTTTTGCCCACAACTTTAAAAATAATTGTCTGAACATGGAATGTCATACGTCGTTGAGCTAGTATTTAAATTTGCAATCGAACTGTATCAAAAAACAGGAATTAAGTTTTTTTGGTATTTTTTGCAAATTTTGTTGAGTTACACCTTACAAATATTTGCCAAAAGTCGTTTTTTCGATTTTTCGACATAAAATAATCCGTTTTTTGCCCACAACTTTAAAAATAATTGTCTGAACATGGAATGTCATACGTCGTTGAGCTCGTATTTAAATTTGCAATCGAACTGTATCAAAAAACAGGAATTCAATTTTTTGGCCATTTTTTGCAAATTTTGCTGATGTTACCCCTTACAAAAAAATGCAAAAAAACACAAAAAATTGTAATTTTCCAAATCCGTCAAAAAGTGATTGGAGTGGTTAGAGTTGGTAATTTGCTGCTCAAAACTGTAACTCTTTCATCTTTTTGATCATTTTTATGGAAGTTATGATACAAATTCCCATCAAAAATATCGAATATTTGCCAAAAGTCGTTTTTCCGTTTTTCCGACATAAAATAATCCGTTTTTTGCCCACAACTTTAAAAATAATTGTCTGAACATGGAATGTCATACGTCATTGAGCTCGTATTTAAATTTGCAATTGAACTGTATCAAAAAACAGGAATTAAATTTTTTGGCCATTTTTTGCAAATTTTGTTGATGTTACACCTTACAAATATCTGCCAAAAGTCGTTTTTTCGATTTTTCGACATAAAATAATCCGTTTTTTGCCCACAACTTTAAAAATAATTATCTGAACATGGAATGTCATACGCCGTTGAGCTCGTATTTAAATTTGCAATCGAACTGTATCAAAAAACAGGAATTCAATTTTTTGGCCATTTTTTGCAAATTTTGCTGATGTTACCCCTTACAAAAAAATGCAAAAAAACACAAAAAATTGTAATTTCCCAAATCCGTCAAAAAGTGATAGGAGTGGTTAGAGTTGGTAATTAGCTGCTCAAAACTGTAACTCTTTTTTTTTTTTAATCATTTTTATGGAAGTTATGATAAAAATTCCCATCAAAAATATCGAATATTTGCCAAAAGTCGTTTTTCCGTTTTTCCGACATAAAATAATCCGTTTTTTGCCCACAACTTTAAAAATAATTGTCTGAACATGGAATGTCATACGTCGTTGAGCTCGTATTTAAATTGGCAATCGAACTGTATCAAAAAACAGGAATTAAATTTTTTGGCCATTTTTTGCAAATTTTGTTGATGTTACACCTTACAAATATTTGCCAAAAGTCGTTTTTTCGATTTTTCGACATAAAATAATCCGTTTTTTGCCCACAACTTTAAAAATAATTGTCTGAACATGGAATGTCATACGTCGTTGAGCTCGTATTTAAATTTGCAATCGAACTGTATCAAAAAACAGGAATTAAATTTTTTGGCCATTTTTTGCAAATTTTGCTGATGTTACCCCTTACAAAAAAATGCAAAAAAACACAAAAAATTGTAATTTCCCAAATCCGTCAAAAAGTGATAGGAGTGGTTAGAGTTGGTAATTAGCTGCTCAAAACTGTAACTCTTTCATCTTTTTGATCATTTTTATGGAAGTTATGATAAAAATTCCCAACAAAAATATCGAATATTTGCCAAAAGTCGTTTTTCCGTTTTTCGACATAAAATAATCCGTTTTTTGCCCACAACTTTAAAAATAATTGTCTGAACATGGAATGTCATACGTCGTTGAGCTCGTATTTAAATTTGCAATCGAACTGTATCAAAAAACAGGAATTCAATTTTTTGGCCATTTTTTGCAAATTTTGCTGATGTTACCCCTTACAAAAAATGCAAAAAAACACAAAAAATTGTAATTTCCCAAATCCGTCAAAAAGTGTTAGGAGTGGTTAGAGTTGGTAATTAGCTGCTCAAAACTGTAACTCTTTCATCTTTTTGATCATTTTTATGGAAGTTATGATAAAAATTCCCATCAAAAATATCGAATATTTTCCAAAAGTCGTTTTTCCGTTTTTCCGACATAAAATAATCCGTTTTCTGTCCACAACTTTAAAAATAATTGTCTGAACAAAGAATGTCATACGTCGTTGAGCTCGTATTTAAATTTGCAATCGAACTGTATCAAAAAACAGGAAATAAATTTTTTGGCAATTTTTTGCAAATTTTGCTGATGTTACCCCTTACAAAAAAAGGCAAAAAATCACAAAAAAATTTATTTTCCCAAATCCGTCAAAAAGTGATAGGGATGGTTAGCGTTGGTAATTAGCTGCTCAAAACTGTAACTCTTTCATCTTTTTGATCATTTTTATGGAAGTTATGATAAAAATTCCCAACAAAAATATCGAATATTTGCCAAAAGTCGTTTTTCCGTTTTTCCGACATAAAATAATCCGTTTTTTGCCCACAACTTTAAAAATAATTGTCTGAACATGGAATGTCATACGTCGTTGAGCTCGTATTTAAATTGGCAATCGAACTGTATCAAAAAACAGGAATTAAATTTTTTGGCCATTTTTTGCAAATTTTGTTGATGTTACACCTTACAAATATTTGCCAAAAGTCGTTTTTTCGATTTTTCGACATAAAATAATCCGTTTTTTGCCCACAACTTTAAAAATAATTGTCTGAACATGGAATGTCATACGTCGTTGAACTCGTATTTAAATTGGCAATCGAACTGTATCAAAAAACAGGAATTAAATTTTTTGGCCATTTTTTGCAAATTTTGTTGATGTTACACCTTACAAATATTTGCCAAAAGTCGTTTTTCCGTTTTTCCGACATAAAATAATCCGTTTTTTGACCACAACTTTAAAAATAATTGTCTGAACATGGAATGTCATACGTCGTTGAGCTCGTATTTAAATTGGCAATCGAACTGTATCAAAAAACAGGAATTAAATTTTTTGGCCATTTTTTGCAAATTTTGTTGATGTTACACCTTACAAATATTTGCCAAAAGTCGTTTTTTCGATTTTTCGACATAAAATAATCCGTTTTTTGCCCACAACTTTAAAAATAATTGTCTGAACATGGAATGTCATACGTCGTTGAGTTCGTATTTAAATTTGCAATCGAACTGTATCAAAAAACAGGAATTAAATTTTTTGGCCATTTTTTGCAAATTTTGCTGATGTTACCCCTTACAAAAAAATGCAAAAAAACACAAAAAATTGTAATTTCCCAAATCCGTCAAAAAGTGATAGAAGTGGTTAGAGTTGGTAATTAGCTGCTCAAAACTGTAACTCTTTCATCTTTTTGATCATTTTTATGGAAGTTATGATAAAAATTCCCATCAAAAATATCGAATATTTGCCAAAAGTCGTTTTTCCGTTTTTCCGACATAAAATAATCCGTTTTTTGCCCACAACTTTAAAAATAATTGTCTGAACATGGAATGTCATACGTCGTTGAGCTCGTATTTAAATTTGCAATCGAACTGTATCAAAAAACAGGAATTAAATTTTTTGGCCATTTTTTGCAAATTTTGCTGATGTTACCCCTTTCGTCAGGTCTTCGACGAGATAAAGGTTTTTTGGTCTACCCCGTTTTCCTTAATAAATACAAATAAAAAAAGTGAAATTGATTATACAAACTCACCTGCGGCAAGGCCTGGCCATAGTTGTTCACCTGGTGAACGTCCAGATGTTCGGTGAGCGTGGAAAAGTGCGGCCATGGGGCATCCGGCGCATCGAGAGCTGCCAGCACGGGATTCACAGCGGACTGAGCCGTCGTGGAGGTCGAAGTCCTGGGCAGCACATCCCTCGACTGCTGTTCCGCCTTTACCTGATTCGGCTTGGCCGGGATGGGCGGTGGGCGTGGAGCGCGACGGGGCAACAGCCTCGGACTATTCGGTGTAGATGCAGTGAGTCCAGGGGCTCCAGATGCCGCTGCAGTTCCGCCAGTGGTGAAACGCCCCTGAGCCAGTGGTATTTGTCCACTGAAGGAGGTGGCTCTTTTGGCCAGAAGCGGAGATCCCTGCAGAGATTGTGATCCACGTGCCACGCCCAATTGGGTCGGCAGCGAGGGCGGCTGGCTGTGCTGCAGGTGGTGCACTTGGTGGTGGTAGAAGTGCGAGGGAAAGGTGTGCAGATAGCCGCTGCCGGCGACTTCTTGCGGCCGCAGCAAATAGTTGTGGGCGTGACTGTAGTATTGCAATGAGTTTAGGGGGCTGGCCACGCCCAGCGAAGGCGTGGCCCGCCCTGAAGTCGAGGCAGAGGCACTGGCCGAAGGCGATGGCGACGAGGAGGCGGATCTCCTCCGGATCTCCGCAGACAACAGCTGCGGCTCCGGCTGTAGCTGCGCGTGCGGATGCTGCTGCGGATGCAGCTGCTCCTGGGAACGCAAGAGCTGCTGCTGCTGAAGATTGGTTAGCGTATCGAAGATTTGCGATAGGCGACCCAAAGGCACTTCGTCAGACATTGACGCGTTGTGGCTGAAAGTGCAGATGGTGAATTAAGTTAGAATGTAAAATGAAGCCATATTCTGGTGCATTTGGTTATGTTTCAGCTGAATGCATAACAAATATATCTGTTCAAATGAAGTCCACCACCTACTAATCTCCATCTCAAGCCGAATGTGTTGGGAAGTTTCCTCGGATTAAGTGTGCCTGGAGTCGGAATGTCACATCTCGAGCTAGACCCATTTGTTCAGTTGTGCCAGAGACACCTTCTCACACAAACCTTTGGAACTTTCGTTAGTTTATAAATTTTCCTTATTTTTGTTTTTTGTAAGCTAAATTTCGATATCTAAACAAATTGCATCCCCTAGACCATGGCGAATCCGAAATCGAGCGGTGGCAACAAGTCCAAGGGCAATAGACACCAACACCGGCAGTCGCAGCAAAATTCGCAACAGCAGCACCAGTCGCAGCAGTCGCAGCAGACGCAGCTGGACCCCTCGCAGCTATCCCAGCTGACACCCACACCGGTGGCAGCCACTGGCCTAGAACCGGCCACCGCCACGCCGCTGAATTCGCATCCTTCGGAGGACACTCTGGCCTTGGCCGCAGCCGTCGCCGCCTCGATTCCAGCTGCCCCCCTGGCTCGACCCATTCCCGATCGCCGCTCCACCACGCCGGCGGTGGTGACCCCGACCAGCAACAGTCTGCCGGAGACCTGCGATGCCGCCGAAAATCTGGCCACCTCGCGGACTACATCGGCGGCACCCGCCGCCTCCGAAAACAGACGCGGCATCTTCCAGCGGCTCTTCGGATGGAGCTCGTGATGGGCACCCCTTCTCGCCAACAAAATTCTCCGCAGACCTGGCACTTTGATCGATTGTTGCATCCTTTAGATTCTTTGCAAGCGAAAATTTTCAATTCATATAAAAATTGATTTAATTTTAAAGTTATCAAAATGTACACAACTAACAATCATTAAAGCTTCTATTTAATTACAAAGAGCTCCCTTTTTGATCGCTACAAAATTGATAGCCGAATATTTGTGCCCGTTCCAAACATTGCACAAACAATGATGCGCAATCCATCAACCCGCCAATCTGGCAATCGGTTTGGGCATTACCAGATCCCAGTCAACATTTACACCTATCTACGTGCCCAAGCGAGGAAATCAATGCGAGCAGATGAAAAAGTGAGGGAAAGTGAGGGAAACGCGATGGAGCAGAGCGAGAACGAATGACACCAGCAGACGGAAAAGTGGAAAGTGGGCACTGGACACTAGACAGTGGACACTGGACAGACAGCGCAGGGTGCAGAGCATGAAACTGGAGAAAACTGGCCAACAGGTGCGCGAATCTGGGGCATCAATCGCCACTACGTGTGCGCAATGTCTAATCAACGGGACAAAAGTCCATGGAAAAGGGCAGTTGGCAATTGAATATGCCACTAAATTATAGACAGCAGACTTGACATTCGGGAGTGGCGGCGCCCCTTTCATCTTTTGTGGTCCGTGGACTGCTGGCTGATGGCTTTTCCAGCTTTTCCCGAGCAGCCCTCCCTTCCTACTCCGCTCCGTTGCAGCTCCTTTCTGGGCACTTTCTTTGCTGTGAATTTTTGTGGCTAAAAGCCTTTGGTTGCAAGCTCTCCGGTCGAAAGTCCATTTCCATTGCTGCAACTCCTTTGCCAAATCTCTGGAGCTGTGGCTGTGGTCGAAGGGACGCAGGACGTAGGACGCAGGACACCGGAAGCAGGACGCAGGACGCAGAACCCACGACCCAAAGCAGACACATTCATAAGAATTATATTCCAATTTTAGAGCAGGGCTCCGTACTTTCTTCTGCATGGAGCTGAAGAATATGTGTGTAGCTCCTGTGTGTGTGCGCTCACTTCATTTTGCAAATTTTGATTTAATTCGAGTTGATTGAAATTCAAATTCAGTTTTTGATTTGACAAAATGTGTCCTGCCGCCCACTCTAGGCCACTTCACTCCTTCTTGCTGCTCTCGATTTTAAGTGCACTCAGTACCAACCAAATTGTTTCTAATTTGCTCGGGCTTTGTGAAAACTGGCAACATTGCTAGAGGCTCCTCCGGAACCTTACGCTTCAAGGGAGCCGGAAGTGTCCACAAGCCTGCCGATTAGCCAGTGAAGTGCGACAACAGGGCGGCAGGTTGAACAAAAGTGCATCCAAGTGAATTTGTATTTCGGTATAGAAGGATTTTGCAGGGCACATATAACATCAAGTACTCGTAATCGAAGATTCCGATTGAAAGTGCATGTGCGAAACAGAAGTTTTTAAGAAAAGTCTAGCCTCACTGCGTGTGCGTGACTGTACCTCATAATAGAACCGCCATTTTGGCGGGTTTAACGAACCCATTACATGGCATTAGGCCGGGAAGTGAAGCTCGGTCAGATTGGCAGGCCTGGAAGTCATAAGCGTAAGCGGCTTAGCAAAGCTTGTTTTGCATACACATATGGTTACTTGCAACTGGTAACTGGTAAGCTGGAAGCATGCTAGTATATATCTTTGTTTACACTCGGCTTAGTACGAACTTGGCCAACATATGAACGGCAAACGGAAACGGAAACGGAATTGGAAATGGAAAGGGTCTGGGGATGCGGAGACTGCAACTCAGATACAGTTGAACAACTGTCGGATACCGACACTCCGCCTCAGCTTTGGGTTAACTTAACTTGGCTAAGTGCAGCAGTGCACTGTAGTTCCCCGGGCGAAAGGATTTTCTTGGGGCTTGCGACATGGGGGTTGGAGTTTGGAGTTTGGGAGAATGGCAAATCCAACTGCATTGTCTTACGCTTGCTCTTAGCTTAGCTCCCTAATGGAGGAATACGGGGGAACCCGAATATAAGAATGGCGACATGGAATGGAAAACTCACTCAAATAGTTGGCAAAACTTGTTCACGGCTCCAATGAAGTGCAGAGTGCAGAGCGGCAGAGGCAAAGGGGCGGACACAAAGACAGAGCGAAGCAAAACAAATTTCTAAAAACCCCAGACGATAGTTAAGCTCCCCTTCTTGGGGTTTCCCAGTACCCAGCACTGCAGTTCCGGTTCCTACGTAGTTTTCCAGTTTCAGTTTCAGTTGCCACTCGGAGCTCTGCCAAATATTATACAATGTATTTATGTATCATCAGCACTGCAAGCAAAACTGAGCTGCCTTTTAAGAATTTCTATGCGAAGCAAACGCATCTCCTCCTGCCACAAATTGTTTCATTACATGTATTCTGTTGACACTAGCGTTACATAATGGATTCGCTTGGGAGTGGTAAATATGTGGACAGTATGGTAAACTGTTAGCTCAATTTCATCGAACAACTTTTATGATACACCGCGCAATGCTGTCTGCCGCATGTAAAGTTGTAAAATTAATACAACATAAAATTTCAAACGTACCCACACCCACACCCCCACCCATCGGCATGACAACACATCCTCCACACCGGCGACCATTTCAGCAGCGTAGTAGCGGCCCCCCTGCCTTTGTTGTGGCACTTCAAAAATTTAATAAACACTGCTGCATCGTTCGCATGCCAATAATTTCACAGCACTTCTGCAGGGCCCCCCCTTCGGAGCCCCCCTCCTGCACCCTAACTGTACCCACTGCACTGTGTAATGCGTCGTCAATTTGAAAAACATTGTCAATGCATGTGGGTAACGAGAAAAGCTCAGTGATGGTGTGAGCCAACTAATAACTGGTGTGGCAGGATAACCAGACACAGTAACGCAGCCCACCCACCTTTCCGCAAGTTTACTCCGACTTACTTCCCTGTTACTTTGTTAGAACTCATCTTATTTCCTTTTTTCACTTTGCTGCATTAAAAGGGGAACTTACTGCTGGGAACAAAGATGCAAGCTCCGGATTCCGGAATGCAATTTAAAGGTTTTGTGGTTCTCTGGCGCAACGTTGCATGCCTTCCGGTTGCTGTTGGTCACACTGCGTAAGTGATATGCACTTCGGTCACACTGCATGCGCGCTCGCTGTGAAGTATGCAAACATTTGCTCCGTTTCCCCATATGTACATAATTTGCGAGCTCCTAAGCCAGGGTATTACCCACTTCCACACCTTGCCGCTGCTATTTTCTCTTTTTATAACCACTCCCGCATTCATTTTTCCCTTTGCTTTCTTTTCGCTCTTTCTTTCAACTATTTTTCACTCAATTCCAACGAAAAATTTATAATAAATGCTCGCGCACATGTGATGTCGCGCATTTTAATTGGTCTCTGCCACAGTAACTCCGAAAGGGAGTACTGAAGGGGGCTCCAGGGGGCTCTAGGGGAGCTCCAGAAGGGTGGGGGCCCTGGACCCAGACAAACCGTGCAACTGTGGGCCCAGTCCACACACAAGTGCCACATACGAGTATATGCCATATATATTGCCGGCAAGTGTGAGTCGAGGGCCTTAACTCTTGGGTGCGTCGGTCGTCTTTCCTCCTCTTTCTGTTGTTCGTTGTCTGCGGTTTCTCCTTGTAAAACGGTTGTCATTCTGCAGTTGTTGTTTATGCTAGTTGGTAAGCACTTGTACGGGGGTCGGGTGCCGGGGGTCAGGGCTGCCCCTCCATGACCTACGTGACAAGCAAAGAGACTTACAACAAAGCACCGACTGGCGACTAACGACTTTGGGTCTAGATCAACTAGATATATCTTGGCCCATACATTACGCTGCCTTACAAGTGTGCGACTGCGAATGCGAGGGTGTACGCCCAGATGAGCTGGAAGTACTATCTTTTGCACACTATCCATCCCGAGAATATTTATAGTTCGACACTATACTCGTATTTGTAATCAGAAGACGGCCCAATATGGCCCAATATTATGTACATGTATGAGTGCAGATGCTAATTTAGATGAGTACAGTAGAGATATCCAGTAAAGTGATCATGACTCACCAAAAATTTCAACCGAATTCCGACGTAAAGCTGGCCAAACCATAACTTTGTGCTGTAAGAGCAAAACTAAAACATTGCGACTCCCAAACAAACCGTTAGCTGTTGGACAAGCTCTTAACCACATACTAACCGTCAAGACAGACAGAAAAAGAAACAGCAACAGAAACAGAAACAAAAACAATACTACCGACCAACTATAAAAGCCGAATAAAAATGGAAATAAAAGAAGCAAAACAAACCGGTTCGCCACCCGCTTCGAAAACTTCCTGCCAACAACAAGAGCAACAACATGTTGCTTCTAATGAGAGCAGAACAACAACAATTAGAAGAACAACAAGCAGCAAACAAAAACTGTCAAAAATTAAGCAGCTAATTAAGAAGCATGACCGTTGGCCGTTTTAGAGAACCCACAATCAGAGTCACAATCAGAACGAAAAAGAATCAGCATCCGAGTCAGAGTCAGAGGCACTGGCAGAAAAAAGACCAGCCGAACCCATCGACCTTCGCATGGACCAGTTTTCTCAAATGGCTAGAAACACGCTGGAGATCTAGACGCCTTTGTCGAGTGGGTCGACACCCGCAACTGCAATTGCCAAAAATAGCTGAGCAACTAGCCAGACCGAATGGTGCTATACCCTGCCAAGCACAAATGTCTGTTAGGGTGCAAAATGAAATCCATCTTTGAACGAAATATCATTGGGTGCGTCGTCTCGCTTCCTTGTGGCAACCACTGCTAGGAATACTAGTCTAGCTCATTCCAATGTCGGATATAGCCCGACTAAGAGGTGCAAAGCCGACGTAATTTCGAGGGATTAAGACCCAAGTCCGACTCAGGTGCTCAGGTGCTCAGCAGAGCAGTTCCCTTCCCTACAACACCACACTGACCTACATTCAACTGGGTTCGGTTGAGCTTGGCGTTAGTTTGGTTTCCGTTCACTTGGGTCGCCAGCCAAAAGCGCGGCCAGCGAAGTTGCGAGTGTTTGACAATTGGCTGCGCTGCTTTCCGTGTGTTTTTGGGCGACTGC